AAAAAAAAAATCCCAAAATATGCATGTCACCACTGATATCCTGGTTATGAAAAGATTTATCTATTTTAAATAGTTATATCTCTTAAAAAATATTTTAAATAAATCTGTATTTTAATAGTATTGACACATTTCAGTTTAGTTTCCAATACTAAAACTTTTCCAATACTGCTTCTTTTTTTTTAGATTATAGAAATCTCTTCTGGGTCAAAAATGACCCAGATGCATTATAACAAACTCTAAGCACTGGCTGTTTTTTTTCTCCTTCAGGTTGTGTGGACGCCTGGGAGCCCAAGGTTCTACGCTCAGCAATGGGAGCTCATTTCCGCCTTCAAGTCTTTCCTAATTTAGATTGGGATGAAATTTCCAAGCACTTACCAAAGGACGTGGTTGTCCATGTAGCAGATAACAATAGTAGTTTTCTAAAATCTCCAGTTTCAGGACAAACAGAAAATGGTACTTCGGATGAATACAGTGAAAGTGACTCTGATGAAGAGTCCAATGAACTTTCACTGCCGTGTCTGAAGCCTCAGGTGTACTTTGAGAGTTGGGCTCAGAGGAGCACGGCACTGGTGATTGGCGGAGAGATGCATGGACTGAGTCTGGAGGCTCTTCGATTGGCTGAGGAAACAGAGGGCAAAAGGCTCTTTGTGCCCATGGCTCCAGGAGTGGAGAGCCTGAGCTCTGCAATGGCTGCTAGTATACTGCTGTTTGAAGGCAGACGGCAACTTCTGCTGTTGTTGGATAAAACACGGCGAAGAACAAGATCTAAAATCTTCTGAGTGTTTTTCTTGTGATGTATTAAAGATGTTTCACCAATACTGTCCAGTTCTCTTATTTATCATTGTGCTTTTGACTATTTTAACAGTCTGTCATTTATCCAGTAAAGGGTGATTGTGTGTTTTCAGAGTAAAAGCATACTGATGACACAAATACTGTACACTTTAAAAGGAAAAGTTCACCCAAAAATGAAAATGTACTCAATCTCAGACCCAATGAATCCTCTGCAGTGAATGGGTGCCGTCAGAATGAGTCCA